GGGTTCTTTGTTGATGTTCAACATTCGTTAAACGTGATTCACTTCCTGTTATTGAATGAGCTGCCATGACGTCACCCTCAGTGGGTCAAAGGGCTCAAACACACACGACGGTCTTCATCTCTATTTCACAGTTTGAGGCCAAAACACGTCCAGAAAACTTGGATTTTTATGACTCTTGCGTCGGCGCAGTCGTTTTCACAACACTGATCAGAGAACTTTAAACTTTGTGGCAGCAGGAGGATTGTAGAGAAGATATTCTCTTGAGATCATCTGTAGTTTAAACTCGACTCAAAATCTCACCTCAGATATTTGCACTGATTTCACAATTCTGTTAAACTTTTATCCACAATTTATCCCGTAACCTTTAACTTGTTGTTATTTCACAGGTTTTCACTCAAGGTGTCCGTTTTGTGCTTTGAGATATTTTACACATTGCATCGCTGCCACAACGTCACTTTGACACATAAATAAAATCAATAACAGTGTTTTTCATAAAGACACACATGTTGCTCTGGTGTTGAAATGTAGAGTTTAGCCTCTGAAACACTTTGACATGAAGACTTCTTGCCAGAGCCGTTGAATGTCTCGCTGTGCAGAGGGACAGAAATAAAGTCCTATTTATCGCCCACTGTACGAGCTGCCACACCACTGTGTCCCACAGACCAGTGATCTGCTCCGTCTGCAGAAACATGTCTATGTTACACAACGTTGTGCAATCTGGATCGACATTAATCGACAGATTAACAAACATTTTCTTCATCTTGTTCCTTCTGATTGGAGAAAATGTCCTGAGAGTTCACCAGTAGTTGAAGTCGAAGTTGAAGAATATTTAAGTTTTAAGGTATTTTTCGTGAAATAAACCAGCTGGTTGTTGATTTCAGTATTTGAAGAGATTTTACTTTAGACATTAAGCTGATTATTGTGCAACAACACTGGAGTTTTATTAATCCAGAACATTTTTATTAAAATTATTAGTTTTACACAAAAATACATATTTATACAGCATATTGTGTGTTTTTCAAGTTGTATTTTAATACAAACTACAGCCTAAAGCAGAGAAACACACGTCCCTCTGAAATAAATCAAGCTGCCAGTGCTTCAAAACTGCACACTCGGCAGGATTTAGTAAATACCATCCGCACTGATAAAATGAACATTGTGTAAACGCTGAAACCCCAAAACATTTCAAGGCAATTCATTAAATAACTTTATTTATTTTTTGGTTGTTGACGTTTTGTTGTCAGCTCAAAGGTCGTCATTGATGTCGCCACATTTGGGAAATGTCGCGTCTGAACACACACACACACACACACACACACACACACACACACACACACACATATAAGAAGGTCACCTGGGTTTTTTTATTTTCTGACGCCGACGTGTAAAGTTCAAAGTACGCTGCACATCTGCTGCGTGTCACACGCCGGCACAGCATGTAGACTCACCGCGATTATATCGCCAGTAATGCTTCTTTCATCTCCGTTAGTTTAAAACGTTATTTTACAACACGGCATGAAATCCAGATAATGAAGAAGTTTGTCAAGAGAGGCAAGAGGTCATGAGATTATTCAATGAACATTCCCTCAAACCAAAACAAATTAAACTAAACTAACTTAATTCAGAAAGAAACGACAAAAGTAATGACACAAAATGAGCAAGAAATCAGCCGACAACTATCCAATAACACCAAAGAAATGCGTAAATAACAATGCGGGGGAAAATGGTCTAACAATTAAAATAAAGGAAAACATCTTTTTATTTGTTTGAAATTACATTGTTTATTTTTTTGTATTTCTCACCACCTAACCGTAATAAAGTTGAAGTGCCTTTACAGAGAACTTTATTAAAGTATGATTACATAATTAGAATTAAATGATGAAAAGTGGTCATTGTAAACTTAACTCTAACTGTTAAACATGTGTTTTGTGTAGTACAATAAGTTGTTGTATTTTTACCTGTGGTCTCCAGCAGGAAGTGGAGAACTTTAAGAAGCTGAACGTCATCAGTCAAGACGAGTTTGAAACTCTGACCCCCAAAGTGCCGGCTGACCCGGAACAGGAAGTCCCGCCTCCTCTCATGCCAGGTGAGCTTCATGTTTGCTGCCTTTGATATATTTCAACATCTATCAAACTCCATTATAACCACCTTTGTGAGGAATATGTGCATTAGTATACTTACATTCAATATATAGATTAAAAACAAACAAGACTGATGGAGTAAGTCTTGTTGTTGTTGCTTTGCTTTTAAATATGAATGAAGTGTTTCTATTGTGTGTGTGTGTGTGTGTGTGTGTGTGTGTGTGTGTAAACAACGTTTTCTCTCAGTGGACAGCGGAGCAGAGTTGGCCCGCTCTCTGCCTACAACGGTCCCAGAGTCGCCCGTCGCACTCCAACCCCGAACCCCCCGAACGCCTCGCACCCCCGGACGCCAGGACCCCAACAAGACGCCACGCTTCTACCCCGTCATGAAGGAGAGTGGCACCATCGATGGACAGGTGAGTGCAGGGCAAGAGACGCTGGCTCATGTCGGACTGATTACAGAAGTAATCAACAGATCAACATCCGGTTATCAGGTCTCTAGTGTGAAAGAAGACGTTACTTAGAGGTCTCAGTGTAGTCCTGGTCCTCTATAGGACCTCCATCAGTAAAGAGACCATCAGAGAAAAGATGGTCTGTTTCTATAGAGTTATTCTTAATGCTCGTCATCGGAGCCACCGGGTCGGATTCTGGTGAAACCAGATGAACTCATGCAGGTTCACCAGAACCTCCTTCAGCTCAGACTCCAGCAGAGACCGGTCCACCGTGGACAGACCCAGATCCTCCAGCAGAGACCGGTCCACCGTGGACAGACCCAGTTTAAATACACAGCGATTCCCGGTTTAAGGCTTGCCGACATCTCACTGTCTAATTTGAATGTTACAGTTTTTGTTTGTGCAGTTATTGACCTCAGACTCTAGACTGGAAAAGCTCTCTTTGCATTTTACGACTGGCAGCCGCTGCCGACCTGTTCTCTGTTTTGCATGTGCCTGTTTACATAGTTGTTAAACACAAAGAACTGTTGCAAATACTTCTCTGTTTTCACGAGCATCAAATGGAGTCTACAGGCCTCTTTTCACCCGATACCATCTCTGAGGTGTCCACTTACAAGAGGAGACAACAATGCCTTAAAAATATCACTCAGATTGTGGGAAACAACCTAATTATAACAAACCATCAGTTGTGCAAACTCGACTCGACTTAAATGCCAGTATGCCAGTTATCAGGGACATTCTGTAGCTAAAAGGTGAGAGGTTAATCTCGGTCCTCTCCTGGTGAAACAGCTCTTTGTAACATGAATCTGTTGTTGTGATTTCCTGTCGCAGACGCCGAGGAAGAAGAAGACCCGCCACAGTTCCAACCCTCCTCAGGAAGCCCACATCGGCTGGGTGATGGACTCTCGTGAGCACCGGCCGCGCTCTGCGTCCATCAGGTCTGCTTTTCCTTCATGACTGTAAAGATGCTGCTTTTCACTTGATGTTTCAGTTATAAACTGGGAAGAAGAAGAAGAACAATAACGGATCATTTCCTTCTTTAACTGTTTAACCTTTAGTCATTTCTCTCCACAAATGGTATTAGTTACAAATGATTTTAGCCCCGAGTCATTTAATGTGAAGTTCTGCAAGTAAAGACAAGATATCTTCCCTTTTCCTCCATAACACAGCCGCACGGTGCACAGTTTGTAAAAGCAATTAATAGACGGGAATCACTCGATAAGAAGATAAAAATAATTGAAGTTAGTTTTAAAGATCTCTGCATTCCTTCTCTTGTGGCGGTAATTGCAGGTGCGTTTTGGGATCTAATGGTTTCGTTTCCCAGTCATTTCCACGTTTCCCATTTCCTTGTTTATGTAAGCTGTGGTGCAATGCATGCTGGGAGCGTAGCGGTGCGCTTTGACAGAGGTTTGGGCTACTTTAGGGACATCCAGTGCGACTCGCTTCCTCTGGTTGTAGACTACAGGGTATAAAAGGCTTAATTGATACAGTAAATACAAATATGCCTCAATGGGATTAGATAGATTTTAATAGGAGCTGTCACTCAAACATCTTCTCTCCTCCAACAACAGCAGCTCCAACGCCTCCCCGTCAGAAGGAGCTCCGCTGTCGGGAAGTTACGGCTGCACCCCCCACTCTCTGCCCAAATTCTGGCATCCAACCCACGAGCTGCTGAGGGACAACGGCTTCACTCAGCAGGGATACCACAAGTACCTGCGACGGTGCCTCAACGGTACGGAGGGCAGGTTCACCCACATGTATTAGATGGATTGTACAGATGTTCGCAATCGCAAAGATCGTCTTTCGTGCTCTCTGGTGACGGAGTCGATGCTTTTTGTTTCGTTCCAGAGAGGAAACGGTTGGGCATCGGTCAGTCTCAGGAGATGAACACTCTGTTCAGGTTCTGGTCCTTCTTCCTGAGGGACAACTTCAACAGGAAGATGTATGAGGAGTTCAAACTGCGTGCGCTGGAAGACGCCAAAGACAACTACAGGTGAGGAGGACATCAGGTGTTTAACGATGTCTCTAACATTTATGCATTAAAATGTCTAAAATCGACTAGACCTATGTTATATATATATATATATATTGTACTCTGTTATCCCAACAGTGGTCAAACTCAGACAAATCTGTAATTGTATTCAATGAGTCAAACTTTATTAGTTTAGCACCGTTCATACAGGTTAGTGTGGACGGTAGAAACAACAGAAGTTATTCATTAAGTTGAGATCAATGCAAGCGAGACAATAGAATGATGAAGATGGAATAAAAAGCTATAATAACAGTAAGTAAAGTAAGTAAAACAGCGTGAACTAAATGCCAATAAAATGGATGCAACTTACGAATAAGTGAGAAATAAAATAAAGGGAAAATAGAATACAAATTTTCAACTTAAATATAATAAGTTGATAAAATATCGTAAATAAATAAATAAAATGTGCTTAATTTGGTTGCTTGTCACTGGTGTCATATCTTTCTATATTTACCCCTTTAGTTGCTCTAACTTCTGCCGATGTGTCCGTCAGAATGTGAGGAAGGAAGTCTGTTTACTGTTTGTATTGAATTTAACATAAAAAACACAAGAATTGTGGTGAAATGAGCCCTCGAGACAAGTGTCCCTTATCTTTGAGGCCCTAAAGAACCTTTCAGCTCTGAAGTCAGTCTCAGGAGGAGATTCATGGGTACAAAGACGTAAAGAGATATCACCGTTTCTTTGACCTGCAAACAGTGCAGAAAGGCTTTTATTTATTCCTCTCTGTTTAACTTGACTTACTGCTGGGCGTCAACAGGGGAGGGGTCTGTGACGTTGTTCTGTTTCTGCCACAAGCGGTTTTATATCAGCTGCCAAACCCACATTCTTGTCTGGATAGTGCTCACACGCCCTGAAACTCTCACTTCAACCAGTCCACTGACACTGTAACAAAACTAATCTGTGAGGTTGTATAATAGCTGCTACATGACTGTCTGACTCGCACTCTATAGTCACGAGGAATCCCTGATGAGGTCTCCAAACTTTGTTTTGTCTCTAAAAAAAAAACCTCGTGAGAAGCGACACAGGTGTGGTCGTGCTTGTCGTCGTCACACCTGTTGACATATCGGCCTTTTTCCACACGTCTTTTACAATTTCCCCGATGTAGGTCAGTCACCGTGTTATTGTAACGCAGAGATGAATTATTCTTGTAGAACAGGAAGTTAGCCTCGCACAACGAGATTCTCACATTGGATTTTGGATTATTGCAGAAAATAAACTCTGTGGCAAACAACCGTCTTTGATGTTTGGAGTTTCTTTTCATCAAGTTAATCTGCACAAATGAACACAATCATCAGCAGTAAAAAGCTCACGCTATGCTAAAGGAAGCTCCAGAAACAGCCAGCCAGCTAACGTAACGTAACGCATCACATCCCGTCCGTGTAGACACACTTGTCTGTGGTCAGAGTGCAGGTAAATATTAGTTTTCCCCTCTGCAGGTACGGACTGGAGTGTCTCTTCAGATACTACAGCTACGGTTTGGAGAAGAGATTCAGGTTGGATCTGTTCAAGGACTTCCAGGAGGAGACCCTCAAGGACTTTGAGAGAGGTAATTGGAACCAGAACGTAACCAAGTGGTCCTGAACGTCACCTCAACGCTCACCAGGATTTTCAGAATAAAATAACTGCTCATTGTTACAGTATGGAGACACAAACTTGGTTCACCAATAATGTGATATTTGCATAATCCACTCAAGTTTGAATTGTAGCACAACTTTAATATAAGTTAATAATAATAATGTTTAATAATAAACACAACTACCAGACATGACGTAAATAAAAGATAAGTAGCATATACTATCCCCCCTCTAAGCCGAATGTGTGGAAAGAGGGAAAAGAAAAATAGGATTAAAGTCGATTTCTCAAACGGTTTCTGCCACCGAGCGACTCGGTGAAGCAGAACGGAGGATCGCCCGTTAAGACTGCAGCAGCCACTTATTTCCAGCAGAGTTATTTCGGTTCATATTCAAACGTGATCTGTCAGAGAGATGAAGCGAACACTGAAGTTATCCACGGACCAACCGGCACACGTGTGACCACGGTCACAAGCCAGATACTGAGCCCGTGAGTCACAACCGGCTGAGGTTATCAAAGCACTAATTAAGACGCGTACGGCTTCATGTGAGTCCTGTTCTTATCTCAAAGCTATTTCAGTGTTTTATCTGATAAATAAGAAAGCGTTTAATCAGCTAAAGGGGTGTGGCTTTAGTTTGTTAGACGGAAACGCATCATGTGACGTGTATACTGTATATACACGTATATATCACGGCAGCGGGACATGTCGCTGCCTTTTTACCACACAGTGCACCGTATTTACTCTGACTTCAGAGTGAGAAATGTATGCTTCATATATATCGGGCAAAAGACCCTAAGACCAGACTAAGAAAATGGTTTGTGCTTTGACTCTACTCCCTGCTAACAATCCCACAATGCACTGCGTCACATTTTAAAGATGCTAAATGTGCCGTTGTAGGACTCAATGCACCTCTGAGCCAAAGCACTGCGTGCTTCATGCTTATAGAGTGAAAATATATATATATATATTTATTTTTCAGTTAACCAGCAGATAGAAGCCTAAAGTACAGTTTATAACTTCTGCTAGTTTCTGCTATCTAGCTGTGTGAGATGTAGTTTGATTGTTAATTCATTTATTTCCATTCATTCTTTATTGTAAAACTTTTTTTTTAATAAATTGGTTGTTGGTTTAAACTGTCAAAGTACCGTTCCCCGTTAGCCAACTTGCTAACTAACTAATTTGGCACTGGTTTTACAAAGGGAAGAGAAAGTTTCAGAGAAAACTAAATGAACTGTAAATTTGTACTAAGTGCGTTGTGCTGTCTGGTCCTCCTGCAGGTCAGCTGTATGGACTTGAGAAGTTCTGGGCCTTCTTGAAATACTCTAAGATGAAGAAACAGCCCATCGACCCGAAGCTGCAGGAACACCTCTCCCAGTTCAAGAACCTGGAGGACTTCAGGGTGGTGGTGAGTCTCCACGTCTCATGAGAACAAAACTGACATGAAGTATCAGAGATATATGTTTTTAGAAAAGAATCTCCAATTTCTTGAAACTACATTGGATTGCCTTTAGTTTAAGTTGACAACTGGACAGTTTGGAGTTAATTCTAAGGGTTGTCAAATGTGTTGAAGAAAATGTAGTTCCCGAACTACAGAGATAATCCGGTTCTGCCGATGCCTAAGTGCCTTAAAGCTGCATTCTCTCTAGTGTCCACCAGGGGGCGACTCCTCTGGTTGTATAGAAGTCTATGAGAAAATGACTCTAATTCTCTCTTGATTTATTACCTCAGTAAACATTGTAAACATTGTAAACATGAGTTTATGGTCTCAATCTCTAGTTTCAAGTCTTCTTCAATACAGCATGATGTTCATTTAGTACATTATGGTCCATTTAGAGTCAAACAGACCATAAAGCAGGGGATGCTTTAGGGCAGGGCTACACGGTGATTGACAGGTCTCTACCAGAGACTATACTGCGTCTCTACGTTGCATTCCAAATATGGTCACTTCCTGTTCATTAGCTGCGGAAAAAAACAACATGGCAATGGCCGTAATCCAAGATGGCTACGGCGAAGTCGCCGAACTCCAAGCTTAAAAACTGTCTCTGTAAATGGATACAAAAGTAGATCTGTTTGAATTGATGTGGACAACAGATCAGGGGTCTACAAGCAGGATGTTTTACTATCCATCGTCTGATCGGCCCGTCTTCCTGTATTGAACTCTGACCTTTGTGTCCGCAGCCCCCGATGGGAGAGGAGGGAGGCAGGAGGAGACATCACTCATCCTCGGCTGGGGATGAAGGGAGGCGTCGGCGACATCCTTCCAACACTACCTCAAAGCCCACGCAGGCCTCCAAGTCCTCCACCGCCGCACCGAGCACAGCCAAAGACAACGCCCAGAAGACAACCGCTGCCGCCGTCGAGGAGAAGAAGGCCAAGTCCGGAGCCGCCAAGAAGGAAAGTGTTGCACCAAATAAATGAAGCTCCCTCCGGTTCAGGTGTGGGTTTGGATAGAAGACATGTAGAGCGAGGTGGCTGCAGCAGCTCTGAGATCAGCGTTTCGCTCTTTTCAGCGGTTTTGGGAATGAAGAGAGGCTGAGCGTGGTCGACTTAATTGTATTGTTTTTTTATCTGTGCATTTCATTTGCAAAGCAAGCAAGCATAGGCAGTGAGCCGGAATCTGTGCGCCTGACGGCTCATATAATGTTTACAACACAAAAAAAAACTAAAACGAAAAAAAAATGCATTCCTTGCATTTTGCCTTTTTATTCTCTCAGATGCCAAAACTCGACAACACTTTTCTGTTGAGCACAATCTGTAAAGAGCTCTGGTCTGTATGGAGCTCTCCGCCTGTTGAACTGTGACTCTAGTTTGCCAAGATGAGAGATCCTGCAGATTGTCTTGAGTGCCTTATTCTGATTCAGCAGTGAAGACAGGAGCACTGTCGACCCGAGACACAATAGTCCAAATTTCACTTTTTACGGTCTTCCCAATTCATTACTTGGGGTTTGAACATGTTTAAAACTGACACCACTTGCAGGTTTAATCTCTTCTTGAGACATAAATATCTTATTTTTCTTTTATCATGACAATCAAGTTGACAGCTGCAGTCATAGATTTGTGAAGGACTGACCCCCGAGGCTGCTGCTCACTAACAGATGTGGCCAGATGTTCAGACCGACGGACATCACAGCGAAACTTATCATGTTGGTTTTTCAATTAACACCTGCAGGAATTATGACAAATTTAAAGTGGGAAGCTTTATTTCAAGTCCCATTTTTACACCCAGAGGTAGTATAATTTATTGTTTTATTCTTGTTTTTATTTTTACTTGATTTGAAATGTGTCTGCTGGAGTTATGGGTGTGAAGCTAGCGTCATTAAACCACAGTATAATTTAGCTTACTTCATATCATGTTTGAGGCTTTGTGCTCTAGAGCGCTTAAATCATTAACTTTCCTTTACTTGATCGATGGACTTAAGAGGTTTTTAGAGTTGAATTTAAAGAAGAAAAAAAAAATGTAAATACTATAAAAAATCATTTGCTATTCAATTATTCTTTTTGATTTTAAGAATTGATTTGTTTTATCGGTAGTGTGGTGTTGAGTGTGTTTTAGGATAATGCATGTTAATGCTACAGTCTTGAATTGTAAAATGCAAAAAAATATAAAATAACAGCTGATTGTATGAACTTGTGTTAGTGTGGTTTGTGCTGCTTTCTCTTCTCTTACTCTGCACATGTTCTTGCTGAGGGCGACTCCAGCAGGATGAACTGGTTTCTGTTTATTTGAGGGTGAAATTAATCATCTGTAGATAAAAAAACAAAATGTCAGATCCAAATCAACTGTAAACCTTAAATATGAAAAATGAAGATCATGTGAGCAGAGAAGAGGCGTTTTCAGGCCAAAATATTAATACTATAAATGCCATTTCTTTAATTTTAATGATAAATGTTTTACTTAACGTTATATCACTGGTTGCGTTTGGTTTTTAGCTCACACCTCGTCCATTCCCAGTGTTGCCCTTTTATTCAGCCGTTATCTAGCTGCTATTTACACACTTTATGTAAACACTTTCTTACAAACTGCTTGTTTACTCTGTTGGAGGGGATAACGGGTGAAATGAATCATACTTAAAGTCATATAATCTAGGAAATATTTCCAGAAAGTCTGGTTTGATCACAAGTTCGTAACGGTTTGTGACACTACGGGTCCGATGGAGGGACAAAAATCATCACGTCGCAAATTAACACGGTTGAAGGCGTGTGTTTTGATGCCTTCACGTGTAATCGTAAACCTCAACTCTTAAGGGAGAAGTGGCTCTGAACGGGACTATCAATTGCTGCTGTGTAATTTCTGTCGTTTTAATATTTTATAATAGTTTTTTTTTTTAAATTTAAATGTTAGTGCCGCCAAACTAGTGCGAGTTTATTAAACTGAATCCCCTAAAATATAAAATGTATACTTTCTGATCTTGCATATTTCATTTTCCTCGTTGTTGTACTTTGAAACTGTTTAATGTCACAAAATAATAAATGACAAATGTGTAACCACTATAAAAATACTATAACGCTAAATGATGCAATGTAATGATTAAACTTTTCAGATCGGCCTATCTGATGTAAACACCAATGAAACTGCTCATGCAACAAGTTTTAATTCATGCTCACAGTGAGTCGCTTTTTGATTGTTTTATTTTTAATTAAAGGGCAAAACTAAGATGTAGATGTTTGGAGATGAATAAAATATATACATATTTAGTAAAATAATTTAGTAAAATCAACAAATAAAAACAGAAATAAAACATAAAAGCGACGACATCACATAAAAGCCAGAATGATTGATTCGATAGTTAAAGTAATCGATAGTTAAAATCCTATAAAACGAACAAGCTTTTTTTTTTTTCTTTTTTTTTTAAACAACGCACCAAAGAAGAACAGAATGTAACAACTCGTTCAACTGGTGGTTCCCGCTTGTTCTCCGACAGCACCTGAACGCACCATCTTACCAGTTGGCTGGTAGGCGCTAACAACCGTGTGCAGTATGGCGGACGATGGAGACAGTTCGAGCGGACCAGTTGACACGAGCGGTGGGGCAGCAGCGGACGAGTCGGACGGTCTCACGCTCTACGGGCTCGGAGCGATGTTGCTGAACATCAGTATTTTGGCTCTAGTGGTGGCGGCCTGTGTGGCGGCCTACCGGCGGTGGGGCAAACGGCTCGTCGCTGACGCGGCCCAAAGCGACGAGGCCTCGGCGCTGCCCAAGATGAGGAGACGGGACTTCTCTCTGGAGCAGCTGCGGGAGTACGACGGACTCGAGAACCCGCGCATCCTGATGGCCGTCAACATGAAGATCTTCGACGTGACTAGCGGCAAAACGTTTTACGGGAAAGGTGAGTAGATGGAGCACTTTAACATCCGGGTGAGTTAGCTGACACGTCCAAGTTGTCCCGAACAAAAACATCATTTCTGGGCGCAAACGGTTGTGGTTAGCTTAGCTCTTTTGTCTGTGTTATTGAATGGGATATGCTAGCCGTTAGCTAACTAGCACTGGCTGTGTTTTTTGGTGGGGTCGTGACTCCTGTGGTGATGCTAGAACACCCTAAACTATATATTTATACAACTTTTTAGTTAAAGTTTAGTTAAGCCTGGATGATTGTAAATAACTAGCCTGCTAGCCTGTTAGCTTGTTGACGTGCACACAGACACACTGTCTGGGTGTCTGGTCTGTAGTCTTGTTTACACTGATGGGACTCATCGTGCATGATTCTTGGGAACTTTGCACCAATGTTTTAAATCTTAAAATAATGAATGCATCTTGCTAATTTTCTGCAGAAAATACGTGTTGTGGTTTGTTTTACTGGCATCTCTGCTGTGAAAAGTGAAAGTTAATTGTAACTTAATAATCATAATTTACTTCCACAAAGCATGCTTCAGTCCCCATAAGTGTTTCTATTTCTGCAAAGCTAGGCTAACCAGCTAATCAACATTTTCCTCCTAGCTGCAGGACTCGCCCGTCAACTGTAATAAACTATAATTATTCAAGCAACATTCCCAGCAGTCTCATGTGTCACGTCCTGCTAACCGACACCAGCAGCACCGAGCCAAGTAGGCCTGAATCAGGGCAGTCCAGTCATGATGTCACACAGTTTTACAGACAGACAGGAGTTGACTGGGTCATATCATAAACTGTCCAGTGGGTGTTTATCACAGTGGACTTCATGCTGACGCAGATAGTAGTGATTCAGTGTGTCAGGTCATAAGTCGTTTGGCTATGAACACAAAGTATCTTATTGGTTCAGCTTCTGAATATTTAAAGTTTGGTCCATTTTCTAGAAAGTGAAAGTTTGCCTCTTTTTCTATGTGTTGATACTTTTTGGGGTTTGGTTGACTTTAGGTGCTCAGAAGATCGGCAGCTGGGACATGTGCATTTATTAATAAAGATAATAAGATTAATAAAGTAATTAAAATATTAAATAGTCTGTTGCAGACCTGCACTACTTGTTAGAGGAGAGTCCAGCTGGAGCTCACACACTTTATTCAGAGACAATCATTTCTTCTTTGTTGTGAGTCTTAACACTTCTAATATCAATCATAATAAGAACATCGGTATGTTGCTGTTGTGTTACTCAAGCCTGCAGTTTTATCTGTAAAATGCTAATTATGCAAGGTATGAGCACATCTAATCTTTGAGGTGATAAGGCGTCTCTGCTTCACGGTCAGAGTTTTTCTTTTTCTTCTGTTGCACAAATATTCCATCAGAAGAGCCGAGGGCCTGCAGAGCGTTCACATGCTGGTCAGATGATGTTCTTCTGGAGGAAATTCAAGTTTTAAAACACAGCGGAAACGTGAAGGGAGGCTCGGAGCGAAATGTTTCATGAAGGCTGAATGTGTTGGAAGAAGTTACTCAACAGGACAACAGCTGCTCGTTAGTGGACAGAAGGAAATACCAGAAAGGGTGAAAGGCTCAAAATGAAAGTTATGGATGCACTGATTACACTTCCTCTCCCCCGAAGTAGATTCAACTCAGAGTATCTGTTGATACCAGGTACTGTTCTACCAGATCAGGTCCTCTACTGATAATGTGATCATATTTTAGCTAAAGCAAAACGATTGATTCCTAAAAAGAAGATTATATTGCTGGACCGATAAATCCTCCTTTATCGATACATCAGCTGTTTGTGTGTCAGGCGGTAAGAAGCCTGCAGCACACACATGTCAAAGATGAGTTTGAGGTAATATATTAATGTTTTGCATTAATGTTTAAAAGGGATATTGGCCCGTATATGGTTATATATGTAATTAGAAATGTGGGTTTAATTTCTTAGCAGGTAGAATCATTCATTGCTAATGTTTTACTCATCTTGAGAAGTTCAAGTTTAGAAATCTTAAAGAACTTGCGGCTGCAACTAACTTCTACTTTACATTTAGATTAGTTTGACAACTTATTCCTTGAATAATAGATCAGTGGGTTAGTGTGCAAAATGGTGAAAAATGCTCCCGTAGCAGAAGTTAATGTATTGTTTATCTCATATATA